GAAGTTGGAAGATTTTTTAAACTGCAGAAGGATTATAAGAAGGAAATTATGGTAAACATAAAAATATAATGTAGTATCTGAAAATATAATATAAGGATAAAATTTAATTATTCACAGCTAATACCGTATTTACTCGCATATAGGATGAGATTTTTCCATTTTTCACTGCTTCAAAAACCGAGGTTGTCCTATACTCGTGAGCAAAGAAGTTTTTGCGTTTTGTAATAATTTTTGTGACTAATTAATTTTTACCGGATGCTTACCCTATGGTGTTTAAAAACAAAAGTACCGTACATTTGTGCAGATAAGACGAGATATAAATTTTCATCGAACTTTTATAGGTTTAGCATTTTTTTGTCCTATAAGACAACCTCCAAATTATCAACTGCCCTTGAATTTAGTTTAAATCAGAGATCGTCATCTGGATAATAATACTGTATAGCGTATACAGAATTATGTCCCATTCATGATTTTTTGAAAGAACTTCAAATTTTATTTTCTTGCATCTGGCAGCATTGTCTTGCGATTGTTGCAAACATTCACACTAATTCAGACAATCGGGTAATGATGTTGACTATTCACAAAATGTCATAAGGGCTATTTAAATACATTAGTAAGTGATTTCTTTTATTTTATAATGATTTTAATTTATATAAATTTCAATCTATTTTTTTACCAAAAAATGTCCCCAGATTTTGGGGGTCTTTTTTTATGATTCAACTATCGTCTTATCTGTGCAAATATACGGTATTTTATCTGGGTCATTTGACTCGTTCTTGTGTATTGTCAGGTGTAAAGATGAATTGCAATAGGAAAAGCAAAGCTTTTGAATTGAATTCAAAATTACACGGGAGCCCAATATACGTTTTAATTCATTCCCACCTGAAAATAGATTATTATTTGCAAATCATAATTAGAAGAAACTCATAAGTGTAATCAACAATGAGTGAATTCGACCGTTAAGAATTGGCAAAAAAGGTTCCCGACTGTCCAGCTTTACATGCATAAATTATGTTGTCGATTTTACAAGATTTTTCATGAAGTTTAAAATGCCAGTAATTTTTGCGAGACAATGTGTGCATTTAAGTGCATTTGATATTTTATTTGTTATTAAACGAAATAATATTAGAATTGTATTAATAAATCTAATTTTCTTTATTTTGATCTTGAAAGTCACACCTCGTCCTATATGCGAGATCATCTTATATTCTAGTAAATACGGTAAATTGAATTATTCAGTATCAATTCAGTTATACTAACTGAAGTGCCTAGCTTTGCTCAGAAAAATAACAACATATTAAGCAGAGTTAATATACACCTGAAATCACAATATGCACATTTAATAGTTCAAACAAATTTGCAACATATGCAACAAGAAGTGAGAGAAATTCAATTTGCTAGAATTTAAACTCAGAGTAACACTGCTGAACCAATTGGTGATAAAATTGAAGTCACTTGCTCAGTGTTCAAAAAATAATGGTAGTAATATGCATTAGATATAAAGTTGCAGCTTACTAGTCTTTCTTCATAATTCTAAATCAAATTTCTCAGATTAAAATTTACAACAAAAATTTCAAAATNTTTTCTTATTCCAAAATATGAAGATTGCAAATCTTTATTAAAATAAATAAAATTAATAAAAACATAAATTTACTGTTTACATTATTTAATAAAAAGACAATATTGTATTACTTTCATCAATGCTGTATTGAATAGGATTATTAATGCCACGATCTCCATCAATAGCATGGACAACAGCCACAGTACCATACTAAATAAACAGATTTTAAAATTTAAATGGAGATCAAAAAGTAATAAAATACTTAATATTACTCACAGAATGCTCTCTTATCCTTTGTACACCACAATCTTTAATAAAAGTTGGGTTTTGATCATCTATATCAACAATGTTGATATATATAATTGCTTTATTTGAAAATTCAGTTCCTTCTAGTTTCATATCACGTTCTTCATGTTGATTATCCTGTAACAATAATGATAATTACTTATTTATAAAATTTCAACCTTTATAATATCAATTTTTACATTATTAAATCATAAAATTAACAGTATAAAATAGCTATTAAATACAGCATAAAATAAACTGCATAAATTGAATAAATTAATGCTTAATTAATTAAAATTATAATTATTCTAAACAATAATTAAAAACATTTAAAATAACATAATCATATTTATTGGGCTGAGATTTGAAAAAATTGTAGACCTATAAATTCCCACTGTCGTCTGTTGTTTGTCTTTCCTTAATCTTGAGAATGGAGTTAGATCCACCATCCTCAACCTCTTTTTTTTTGGGCCACATACAGATGATAGCTATTACACACGGGCCGCAACATAACGATTATAATAAAAAACGTACATAATTTCTCACTCATCCTAGAAAATTAGTGTGACTGTTCACTGTTGACATTGCTAACATTTTTTCACAATTTCATTTAAATCGGGCTTGTAACTGTTGCATGCTACTCGTAAAATGGCATTCAAGTGTGAACCAGTAAGCCGGTTTCTATATATGTTCTTTGCATATTTTATTTTTGAGTATGATGTTTCACATAGATACATTGATGCGAACAACATAAGTAAAATTTGAGCACCTTTTTTTACAGTCTTATATTGTTTGGGCACTATTTTCCAGAAGTCAACGTAATTATTTTCCGTTCTCTGTTCTTTAAAAATAGCTTTCAGGTGTGTATTATTCTTCATCTCAATAAATTCATCAAATAGCTCTGCGTAATTACATGCCAATACAGTAGACCCCCCTATAACACGGTAGATACGCTCCGTGTTTTATGAAATTCATGTTGTACGAGTCCTTAAATACATGAGCCAATCACAGCCCGGCACGTATGCAGTTTACAAACTACGGCTGTTTGAAAGGTTTTCTTCCATAAAATTAATCGATTCTAGACTAATTTGACTCAACATTTCCAAAACACGTATAATTTTTTGGGAATAATCCATATAAACTATGCTATAAACAAAAAATTGTAGGATTACTTACCGAGTGTGCACCGTTTGACGACGCCATTGCTTAAGCTTGTTTTCGTCGTGGAACGGTGCATCGAACGGCAGGTGTGTGTTTCCTGATAAATTATTTTTCTGCGAAAAATTTGCTGAAGTTTGGAGACATCATTAATATAAATAAATTTTTATGGCTGTTAAATAATAAATGGTTTTTAGTAGGTCTGCTGCTCGTTTAAACTCAACAGTTTGTGCAATATCTGCTATTGGTCTAGATTCGACCAATCCTGTCGCGACACAAGTCAGCGATGACGCTTTACCGTATCATACAAGTCTCTTTTAGCGTGTTTATACGAATATGGTCGCAATTTTTTTGCTGTTATATACGAATCCGTATTATATGAACCCGTTTTATAGGGGGTCTACTGTATATCAACCAGTTCTGATATTATTGCCAGTTCTAAGAGCCAGGGATTTTCAATGAGCAAGAACATATATAATATATAAAAATAAATAATATATATTATTCATTATATATTTTATTTATATATTTTATTTTTCTTATATCGTGAAATTGATGTTTAAATTCCTCAGATAGTACGGTTAAATAATTTGAAAAAAATTGTATAGTTTTCCGGAGAAATATTAAGATCATCTTGTTTAGCTTATGTTATGGTTGGAAAATTTCGCAGTATTTTGTTTTGTTTTTCTTGGTAATAAATGTTTAATTTTTTTTGAAGGCAAATATTTTATTCGCCATCTGTGAAATTACTTTATTTTCACCCTGTAAACCAGTATTGAGACTGTTAAGCTTCTCTGTAATGTCACACAAAAAAATGCTACAATACACCACCATTCATCATTTTGCAGTTCACTGTAAATTTTATTATTTTGCTGTAAAAACAGCATTATTTCTTTTCGCAAATAAAAAAACCTTTCCAGAACTCTTCCCCTGCTAAGCCAACGTGCCAAGGTATGTAAAAAAACATCTCTGTATTGACTACCCACTTCCTCTAAAAGATTTTTAATTAATAATTTTTGTAAAATTTTAAAAAATCGAGGAGGTCAAGAAGCTTTTTTGAAAGTTAGTTCCTAAGAGAGCTCTTTATCTCTCTTATGACTAAATAGTTGACTAACCAAAAGAACCATCTTGACATCCCATCAGATGTTCCGAATTTTTAATCTCCATTGGAGGAGAATTTTAGTATAAATACGTGATTCGCGCCAAACTTGTGGCACATACTACGAGGAACGCCATACTAATAGGCACATATTAAAGTAAATGCAATAATTTATTTATTTGTGCTTTCATATGTCCCCATATTATCGAATGGATATAGTTGAAAGAAGATATTTTTTATCCTATAGAGGTATTTTGATATAATCAATATTGTAAACTCTCTCATATAAATGATAAGATATAGCTAGAGATAATGCCCATATCTTCTTATATGTAGTTAGATTTATTTCGTTAAATATTTACTTGTTAATCCGTCTACTTTTTTGTTTTCTTTTGACATCCTATCGACTTACCCTCGCGTCTCCCCCACTCGCTAAATTTGAAGCCTTCCTTTATTAGAGATATCTTATATAATTTTTAAACATGTGATATGGCGTGAATTTCATCCCTATCTGGTGTCTGGTCCTGACGTATATCAGGATTTTATGATCATTGATCAACATAGAATTAAATCATCCTAAGACTCAGTGAGCGTTTCTTACCGAACCGTAACCGACTAGGCGGTATATATAGATATCATATATCCCAGTTTCCTCACATGGAGATAATTGATGTTTAATTTGGTAATCGCAATTTGACAAATAAGAAAAATCTCGTCTGGTCTTTAAATAATCATAAAATATATCCACAAGTCTAATGAATGCAACTACTGTATAAACTTAATTTTAATTAATTCGCTTTCAACATGTGTATCTTATCTGAACACGCTAGTGCGAGATTTGCGCACGCGTTGCTCGTTGGGAAATCCGAAATGTGGACATTGCAAAATCGAATTTTGACAAACATGTAACACACGTTACGTGTGTATTCTGGATGCTGAAATGATGAGAGTAACATCAGAACAATTCAGGTACAAATATCTTCTTGCTTATCATAGCCAAGAACAGGCCTGTGACAACGCAACCCGTCATAACCATGGCGGCAACAAAGCCAGCCGTAAACTACGCCAGGACCTTGAGTACTGGTGTTGGCTTTTCCTCATTGGTCAGTGGCGTAGCGTGGGTGTCAGCTGCCCGGGGCGGAAGAAAATTTCACCTCCCTTATTTAGGTATCTCAATTTAAAAGACTAAAATTCAGTTTCGTCACTCACAGAATAAATAATGAAAAATTCTGTGCTAGTGTTGCCACCTTATTAAAATAGCTGATCCAGATGGCAGGTGAGGTTTGTTCAAATAGAAGTTCCTGACGCATGCATATGTCATTTTGCAATTAGAAGAATAACGTGCAGTGCATGCCGATTCTAAATCAGTTACAGTTAGCGATTAGGGAGACTTGGATAGGAGTAACCAGTGGCGTGCCGTGACATTTGATGATAGGGAAGCTGTGTTTCTATAAGAAGCCGACTTCCAGGGGCAATCAGTCAGCAATGGTCTAGGGCAGGGGTCGGCAACCTTTTGAGTCGGAAGAGCCAAAATTACAATTTACAAAATTTCAAAGTTTTTAAAGAGCCACAAATTTTTTTTTGCCAACAATAAATAGTACTCGCATAAATAAAGTTTTGTGATAAAAAAACTAATCTATTTATTCATATATAAGTAGTGTTTTTCACAACAAATTAGATAATAGTAACATCCGACGACGGCGTCATTCGAGAGCTTCGACGGACTGACGACAGTGACGACGCGTGTCACGGGGGAGGGGTGCAGTGAAAAGCGAGTACAAGTGGCTGAGAGATAGAATCAGTGCCTAATCCTCGTTAATCGATTCAGAACGATTTTTAAATGTTTTTTTTTTTGATAAAATAAATAACATTTGCGTATGGAACTACAGAGCCGCAGTTTCACATCCAAAGAGCCGCATGTGGCTCGCGAGCCGCAGGTTGCCGACCCCTGGTCTAGGGTCCATTCGTATTCGTTTGTTCGNAAAAAAAAAAAAAAAAAAAAAAAAAAAAAAAAAAAAAAAAAAAAAAAAAAAAAAAAAAAAAAAAAAAAAAAAAAAAAAAAAAAAAAAAAAAAAAAAAAAAAAAAAAAAAAAAAAAAAAAAAAAAAAAAAAAAAAAAAAAAAAAAAAAAAAAAAAAAAAAAAAAAAAAAAAAAAAAAAAAAAAAAAAAAAAAAAAAAAAAAAAAAAAAAAAAAAAAAAAAAAAAAAAAAAAAAAAAAAAAAAAAAAAAAAAAAAAAAAAAAAAAAAAAAAAAAAAAAAAAAAAAAAAAAAAAAAAAAAAAAAAAAAAAAAAAAAAAAAAAAAAAAAAAAAAAAAAAAAAAAAAAAAAAAAAAAAAAAAAAAAAAAAAAAAAAAAAAAAAAAAAAAAAAAAAAAAAAAAAAAAAAAAGGTCAACAGGTTGTGCACAATATCCCCGAACGGCGAGTCGATTCCCGGACTATCCGGATGAATGGTAACACTATTCCATGCTCTTTTCAATCGGTCCGTGTCGTAAGTGGACGAAAATATGAAATAAAATGGTTCAAATTCTTACAAGATATTATTATTATTTATTGTGAAATTTTGCCGCCCCCTAAAAAAAAAAAAAAAAAAAAAAAAAAAAAAAAGGTCAACAGGTTGTGCACAATATCCCCGAACGGCGAGTCGATTCCCGGACTATCCGGATGAATGGTAACACTATTCCATGCTCTTTTCAATCGGTCCGTGTCGTAAGTGGACGAAAATATGAAATAAAATGGTTCAAATTCTTACAAGATATTATTATTATTTATTGTGAAATTTTGCCGCCCCCTAAAAAGTGCTGCCTAGGGCGGTCTGCCCCTGCTGCCCCCACTACGCTACGCTACTGTCATCGGTTAGTGATCATTTTTCTCTTTTCCTTAGAAAACGGTGCGCAGTCGAGCCCTGAGTCTCCAGACATAGTCTCCTCTCAAAAATTGCCTCACTGTTTTACTTCTTTACATATATATTTGCGTTTTAAAATTTGTTTTGAAGGTTCAAATGAAACCACCAATTTGCTTCTGTTTTCCTATCCTAAAACCCTCTAGTTATAGGAGAAAACAATACGGTTTTAGGCTAAAACTTTTTTCGGGGAAACTTGTGGCATGATGGGTAATAGTATCAGATCACAGCGCATTTTTATCCTAGATTTACCCTAAATATAAGACTACCCTAAACATTACCCCAAGGTTCAAATTACCCTAGAAAAGAGAAATTACCCTAGAAATAGCAGCACTGGTCTTAAGGACTAAAATCTGAAAGCAACGACGACACCTAGCTGATAGAAAAGTTAGTGCAATTTTTTCTTCCTTGTCCTATCAGTTTTCATTAAAGCACAAAATAATTTGAAAATTTCAATATTCTAAAATCCATGGGCAAATTTGAGACAATACACATGCTTACTCAAAGAAAAAAATATTGAATTACAAAATTTACACAAAACTTATGAAATTTTGTATGGAGGATTTCCAAAACTCTTTTAGAGTGAAACTGGAAGTCGTATTGTACAGGGGATATCCCCAATTTTCAAATCATGTTGTAGAAGTATCATGTCATATGCAGGATACCTGTATTTATATTTATACTCACCTTGACTATTATCACAATTCTATAAGAAGTCATTGATTCATAATCTAATTTTTCTATATTTTTCAGAGTGACATTATTAAGAGGCCTTTCATCTTTACTTAATGGCATTTCCAGTAGTGAGAACTTACTGTCTAGTTTGTCAATGTTCTATAAAAACATAAATTTTAAATTATTTAAGTTTGTTTTTTAATTAAAATTTTAATATCAGTAACTTATATAAAAACTTAATTCACTACTTACTTCAATATAACATTTAATAAAATCTTTTTTGTCATCATCTTTGGCCAATATACTTAAAACTTCACCATGAATTTTTTCCTATATTTGAAAGGTTTGTGTTTTTTCATATAATTTAAATAAAATATTTCAGATTACAGATTTTTAAATTTAACTCACCTCTTCTAAATTTATAGTATCATTATATTGAAGAAAATATGGTTTATACTTATTTACTTTTATGACTACAATTTTAACTGCTTTACTATAATAATTCTGAAATGAATATAAGTTTATTTTAAAATATAGTTATAATATACAATTGAATATTAGAATTATCAAAAAAACATTAACATTAACTGACTTTTTTCTTGTATTGTATTAAAATTTTAAAACAAAAATTCTGAATACCTGAGGCATATATTCACTTCAACATAAACAAACTCGAAAAACTAATAAATACTTTTGCTTTTATTATTTAAAGTGTCTTCAGATTATATTCTATATCAGGGGTTAGCAACCTCTCAGCAGTGCTGTGTCAAACCTACGTCATAGTGTTACACTGAACTATGGTTTCCATTTAAATGTGTAATTAATAATTAAAATATAACTTTTACTATAGATACATTTCTATTCAATCATCGTACCACTGAAAATTGTCCCTTGTGCCATGTTTGGCATGCATGCCTTAGGTTGCCAACCACTGTTCAATATAAAAGATTAAATATATTAAATTTAAATTACTTAAAATACTTCTTTATAATGCTAATAGTGTCTTTCTAATGTTCATTCAATCTTTACTTTAAAGTTTTCTTGTCATTCCTTTAAAATTTAGCATTTCCAAACAGAGCTTTTTCAAAGGAATGATATACAGTGGGTGATCAGATAACGAACACTTTCACGAAAGATTTTTATGATCGGACAACGAACACTTCACTGAACAAACATAAAAAGAAGCGATGGAAATAGCAAATACCGATTGATTTACCTTTGTCTTCAGGTGACTTTTTGGAGCGCGGGAGATGTCAATGTCGACGCTCAACCCGATATATACCGATCAGATAGTATTCCTCGAACTTTGAAATACTTCCTTGTAGTTCCAGCCTTTTATTTTTCTGACAAACAATTCTTTTATAGTATTTGACAGACTGTCAGGCGGGCACTCATTAAGTTTTGCATCGGCTTTTATTTTCGAAAGGTGAGAGTATAATAGCAATGGTAGAGAGTGGGCAGAAGATGTCTGATGTTGCTGGGCAGTATGGCTTGAACAAATCTATAGTAGGGTGCTGTTCAATCTTATCTAAGAAAGATACAGTATAATTAAGAAAACAAACAGCTAAAGGAGTAACAAATATCACATCTAAGAAATAAAGAGCTCATAATGGAAACTGAAACGAATCTAATGACAGAAGAACGCCAAGAACTCTTGAATGAAGAACACTAAGAAACTCGGCAAAATATGTTTTATTATGAAAAAGAGGATTAATGTCAATATCTGCTATTAATTAAAGATCTTTTGAAGAAGTGGGGGATGTCAGATCAACGGTCTTAGAATGGCACACAAACCAGGTTGAGGTTAATAGGCTTGGGGATCTCTACAATTACAATGCTATTAATTCTGAAAATCCTGAAGAAGAGAGAAAAGCAATCAACATTAGACAGATTATTTAACCCCCACAAACAAAAAAACATAACTAATAAAAAATGCAAGACTGCATATATGTGTATTTTTATGGTAAATTGATAATCAGTTAACGAACAATTTGGATAGCGAACAAAGTCTTGGAACAGATTATGTTCGTTAACCGATCCCCCACTGTATATAGGGTAAGTTAGAAAAAGGAAAATATCTTGGAATATGATAATATAAATACAATTTTTGAGATAACTCAGGATGTATTTTCTTCATAATTTGAAGTTTAGACTATTTACAAAAAGTCAAAAATAACTTTTGAGTCCATCTTTATCCCTTATACACTACCACAGAAGTAACAGTCTTAAAAAAATGCTTTGAAGAACTCTTCTTAAACACAGGTAAAAATTGGTAAAAAATCTCACAAGGTTAAAAAAGATCAAGTGTCAGCCTTTCATTGTAGGTTTCTGACACTTTTACAATTAAAAACACAAAGAAATTCTTCACACTATCATTTCTATCCACCTTTTTAAACTGCTTCTAGCCCTCTAGTGGTAGTTACGAGTATCTAACATTATTTGCATATAGTTACAATTTTTGTGATAACTCAGGATGTATTTTCTTCATAATTTGAAGTTTAGACTATTTACAAAAAGTCAAAAATAACTTTTGAGTCCATCTTTATCTCTTATATACTAACACAGAAGTAACAGTCTTAAAAAAATGCTTTGAAGATCTCTTCTTAAACACAGGTAAAAATTGGTAAAAAATCTCACAAGGTTAAAAAAGATCAAGTGTCAGCCTTTCATTGTAGGTTTCTGACACTTTTATAATTAAAAACACAAAGAAATTCTTCACACTTTTCATTTTTATCCACCTTTTTAAACTGCTTCTGGCCCTCTATACCTTTTTAAACTACTTCTGGCTCTATTTTGACTTTTTGTAAATAGTCTAAACTTCGAATTATGAAGAAATACATCCTGAGTTATTACAAAAATTGTAAGATAGACTTAGTTGACTATAATAGAAGAAAATCAATTTAACTGAGTTTAATTAACTGTAATTAAGGCAAAATGTTCAGTTTTGTATTGCAAATGCGCAAAGAATATATCAGAATCGAAAGTTAGTACTTAATAATCTTTAAATGTGTTGTTAATTCTTCGTAAAAATTAAAATATTGATTCAGAGCCAATGTGAACCGTAAAACTGGTATATGCCAACATATATTAACATTAGACTACATATTTTGTAAATAGGCGAGTTCAAAAAGAAATGCGAATATTTAATAACTACATGCTTAATTTAGTTTTTCTATAATATTTTAATTCAGCATTTTAGAAAATTTTTTATTTGTTGGAAGTCAAAACATTCAAGTTAGTTAAATTCAAAATTAGAAAAATTTACGTGGAAAATACCTGAAGACACCAAACAAAAATTAAAGATAATCTCTTTACAAGCAATTTTTATTATAACATTATAATTACAATATTAGAGTATAGTAACTTATATATTATTTCATTTATATGTATCATGTTTCAATTTTAGATACACCATTATCTGAAACAGATTAACTAAAAACAAGAAGAATTGCTATTAAAGATTTTATAGACTCGCAATACAAATGATGATAAGATAAGACAGGTTATTACACTATTAATTAAGCTATCTTGATGACAGCTTCATACCATCTTCAAAGAAATGAACACNAATTCCTTTGTGACATTAAACTCCTCATCAATGCCACACAAAAAAAGAAAAAAAACTAGCAATGAGTCGCTAAACTTTCCCAGCAACATTTAAAATTTTGATGGCACCATGTGTTATCATATTTTATATTTTTATTTCATATTTTATTTTTTTTCACCTTTTTATATTTTTAACTATTATAAAATGGCAAAAAGCTTAATTCTGGAGTAGGAATGAGTTTTATAAACAATTGTAAATGCTAATAATGAGTAAAATCATCATTAAGTCTGACCCTACTGGAGATACATGGGAGATAATGGGGGTCACCCCCCATTATCTCCCCATCCACTCGACCTTTAACCATCAAAATTTAATAGTGTTAATTCCCTCTAATAAACAAACATTCCTGCAAAATTTCAGAAATTTTCGACAAAAAAGCACATGAGTTATTAAGCTTCAAAGAGGTTGAAGAAAATCATGCCCCCCATACACACTAATATCCATACACAGAAATTACATCTGAATTTTTTTGCATTTCTTGATGTTTCAAGGTGTCCTAAGTCCAAAGATGTAAAAATCTTAGAGGATAATTTTTTGACTGATTACTGTACTTTCCCTCTGTTATATATAACAGGTGAGAAAGTAATACTAAGGGCTACAAGGTGTCAAAAAACATTACTTGATTCATATAGTACAAGAGAATACTGACTGAATCATTGTACTTTGCTTGCAATTTGTTGGACAATGTTACTTCCAATATCTTTAATCCAACAAGCAACTTTTTTCGGTACAGTACAAGACTTATGATTTTAAAAAATTTGTTTCTTCTGGTCATGACTCACTAACTCATCTCTTCCATCAAACACTTTTAATAATATTGCTATCAGTAAAAGTTTTTCTCATTTTGCCAACACATAATCAATTTTGGAGCTAACCAAGGTTAAGGCTTCATTTTCTGACTTTGCCAGTCTTATTGGAAATATAAATCTCTTGGCTCTGCTTTAACCCTTCAGGGGAGTATGTGGAAACATATCCAAAAGATAAAACTTGTAGTAACACAAAACAACACAGTAAGACAACAGAACGTGACAAGTTAAATCAAATAAAAATAAAAAAAACTATATGATTTACAATAGAATAGTAATAGCAATATCTCATACAAAAAGTCACCAGCAATGATGGCAGCTCAACAACCCCTCATTGGGAACATAAATTAGAACATAATGATTCAAATTTTTCTAAATATTGCTTTTCTTTAACTTGGGAGAACATTGAACATGTTTTGTTTTAAGACTACACAAGTAAATTATATTCCTTGGACACAGCAACAGTGTTACAAATAAGACACACAATTTTATCTTTTGAACATCTATATATATAAAACTCAAAGGTGACTGACATAGTGATCTATCAACGCACAGCCCAAACCACTGGACGGATCGGGCTGAAATTTGGCATGCAGGTAGATGTTATGACGTAGGCATCCGCTAAGAAAGGATTTTGATCAATTCTACCCCCAAGGGGATAAAATAGGGGATGAAAGTTTGTATGAAACTTTGTCANTTAATAGAGGGGAAAAATATATCTAATACTAAGATGGGTTTGGCTGGTCAAATCACAAAAGCTTGAGTTTGCAGGAGTATCAAAACTCATGTTTCCTCACTCTATTATCCACCAACAGTACTTTGTGAAAAACATGTTAATATATTCTGTGTCTTGAAACCTGTTGTTTCTGTGGTAAATTTCCAAAACTACTGATAATAATACCCATGTTCACATAAAGTTTTTGTTTACAATGATTTATATTATCATTTTCCAAGATTTATATTATCTTCATAATTTGAAGTTTAGACTATTTACAAAAAGTCAAAAATAACTTTTGAGTCCATCTTTATCCCTTATACACTACCACAGAAGTAACAGTCTTAAAAAAAAAAAAAAAAAATGCTGTTACTTCTGTGGTAGTGTATAAGGGATAAAGATGGACTCAAAAGTTATTTTTGACTTTTTGTAAATAGTCTAAACTTCAAATTATGAAGATAATATAAATCTTGGAAAATGATAATATAAATCATTGTAAACAAAAACTTTATGTGAACATGGGTATTATTATCAGTAGTTTTGGAAATTTACCACGGAAACAACAGGTTTCAAGACACAGAATATATTAACATGTTTTTCACAAAGTACTGTTGGTGGATAATAGAGTGAGGAAACATGAGTTTTGATACTCCTGCAAACTCAAGCTTTTGTGATTTGACCAGCCAAACCCATCTTAGTATTAGATATATTTTTCCCCTCTATTAACTGTCATGCATTGCAGTTAATTCCAGTTCAGGGTTATATTATGCCAGCATTTTTTTGTATTTCTTTGAAGATATCCTCTCCTGTTTATAGTGTCACGCATTATATAAAGAGTGGCTAATTCCTTTGTGACATTAAACTCCTCATCAATGCCACACAAAAAAAGAAAAAAAACTAGCAATGAGTCGCTAAACTTTCCCAGCAACATTTAAAATTTTGATGGCACCATGTGTTATCATATTTTATATTTTTATTTCATATTTTATTTTTTTTCACCTTTTTATATTTTTAACTATTATAAAATGGCAAAAAGCTTAATTCTGGAGTAGGAATGAGTTTTATAAACAATTGTAAATGCTAATAATGAGTAAAATCATCATTAAGTCTGACCCTACTGGAGATACATGGGAGATAATGGGGGTCACCCCCCATTATCTCCCCATCCACTCGACCTTTAACCATCAAAATTTAATAGTGTTAATTCCCTCTAATAAACAAACATTCCTGCAAAATTTCAGAAATTTTCGACAAAAAAGCACATGAGTTATTAAGCTTCAAAGAGGTTGAAGAAAATCATGCCCCCCATACACACTAATATCCATACACAGAAATTACATCTGAATTTTTTTGCATTTCTTGATGTTTCAAGGTGTCCTAAGTCCAAAGATGTAAAAATCTTAGAGGATAATTTTTTGACTGATTACTGTACTTTCCCTCTGTTATATATAACAGGTGAGAAAGTAATACTAAGGGCTACAAGGTGTCAAAAAACATTACTTGATTCATATAGTACAAGAGAATACTGACTGAATCATTGTACTTTGCTTGCAATTTGTTGGACAATGTTACTTCCAATATCTTTAATCCAACAAGCAACTTTTTTCGGTACAGTACAAGACTTATGATTTTAAAAAATTTGTTTCTTCTGGTCATGACTCACTAACTCATCTCTTCCATCAAACACTTTTAATAATATTGCTATCAGTAAAAGTTTTTCTCATTTTGCCAACACATAATCAATTTTGGAGCTAACCAAGGTTAAGGCTTCATTTTCTGACTTTGCCAGTCTTATTGGAAATATAAATCTCTTGGCTCTGCTTTAACCCTTCAGGGGAGTATGTGGAAACATATCCAAAAGATAAAACTTGTAGTAACACAAAACAACACAGTAAGACAACAGAACGTGACAAGTTAAATCAAATAAAAATAAAAAAAACTATATGATTTACAATAGAATAGTAATAGCAATATCTCATACAAAAAGTCACCAGCAATGATGGCAGCTCAACAACCCCTCATTGGGAACATAAATTAGAACATAATGATTCAAATTTTTCTAAATATTGCTTTTCTTTAACTTGGGAGAACATTGAACATGTTTTGTTTTAAGACTACACAAGTAAATTATATTCCTTGGACACAGCAACAGTGTTACAAATAAGACACACAATTTTATCTTTTGAACATCTATATATATAAAACTCAAAGGTGACTGACATAGTGATCTATCAACGCACAGCCCAAACCACTGGACGGATCGGGCTGAAATTTGGCATGCAGGTAGATGTTATGACGTAGGCATCCGCTAAGAAAGGATTTTGATCAATTCTACCCCCAAGGGGATAAAATAGGGGATGAAAGTTTGTATGAAACTTTGTCAATTTTAAACCGATCGGGCTGAGACTTTGCATGCATAAAGCTACTATGACGTAGGCATCCCCTAAGAAAGGATTTTGATAAATTCCACCCCTAAGGGGATAAAATAGGGGATGAAAGTTTGTATAAATCTTCTTAGATTTTCGACTGATTGAACTGAAATTAAAGATTGGAGCTACTATGATGAAGACGTCCGCTTAAATAGGATTTTGATAAATTCAACCCCCATGGGGATAAAATAAGGGATGATAGAGGATGTAAATGTATTAGTTTGAACCTATCAGTACCTAATGGAACGAATGAAATAAGACGAACAAAATAATTTTTAGTTCTAAATGTTGACAATAGATGGCGTTAGTAGTATTTTGAAATGCGCTATCGTTGTGTTTTCAGAGTTACATATACCCGATGATGAGTGGCCGCCGTATCTAATAGTATATACTATACCTAAATATTTCTAGCGGATTATATTTGACGATTTTGGCTGTTCTTTTTTTGGCATATTTTGGATTGCATTTGCTTTGTTTCGGTTTAATAGTTTTGGTTATAGACTCTGCTTTGTATTTGGCATTTGTTTTGTTTTCGTTTGGTTTAAGTATAGGTTTTGTCGGTTAGACTTTTTTAAAATTTTGTCGGTTAGACTTTTTTAAAATGGCTAAAGAAAATCTGAACGTTAATGGAGAAGTTGAAGAATGTTCTCTCATGGACAGTTTTATGTTGCTTGCTCACGAGAAAGTTCACCCAATAGCTTGATAGTTTTAGCGCCTAATGACAGATTAGTTAAGAATATTGTGTACAAAGAAGTTTTGTAGGCCCTAATTTTTTACACACGCTAAACAAAAGTAAAGCCGCAAAAACTATACCTATTTAATAATAATACTTCTTAACGCGAGCGAAGCCGCGGGCAAAAGCTAGTTGATCATATAAAGAAGTATATTATGGCCTATCTTTCATTAAACATATGACATTATCATCTTTTCTTTTCTTTCTTCCATCCATATTTAAACTTAAAAAAAATTTTAAGTTTAAATATGCTAAAAACTTTAAAAATTTTAAAGCAATTATAAAATTAAAATTAAACACAAATTTTTGTAAAAGTAAAAAAATTGTAACTTTAAAAACAATTACAATACACAGTGATATATAATTAAACAGTTCTTGTTAGTGAAATATAAATTTCATTTTTGCATCAAGAATTGAAGTAGGAAATAAAAATTAAAAATCAATAACAACATACTTTTGCCAAAATAAAAACAAGTAAATGTCAGACCAAAAAAAGATATTATTTTGGTTGATTATTATGAATATTTTTCAATATAAAACAAATAAATTTATTGCATAGTCTTGCTAAGAAAATTAAAATATTCATGTATAAATGTAATGTTTCTCATTTCAATATTAAAATTAATAAAATAAATATCAAAACGTCAGAAGCATTATGGAATTATATCCTTGGATATGTTCAGAAAAACATTAAACAAAATCATTTTTGAAAAATTAATCTTCATAATCTTCTATCAATTATCAGAATTTCCTTACCTCTTCACCTTCTTGAGCTACTATTTTAAAATCATAAGTGGTGGTAATCTGCAAATTTATAATACAGTTACTGAATATACAATTTATGATAACAATGTGCATTATTAAATTCAGAATTAAAATATAAATATTTACTGAATAATCAAAATTTTCATTTAAAATGAAACTGAATTGAATAGATTCTTTTATTGGTTTAATCTTGAATGGAAAATTTGTTGGATCGAAATATGTCCTTAATACTGGTCTTGCCAAAGTAAAATTGAATAATTCAGTGTCTAGAATATGAAAACATATTAATTTAATTTGTTAAAATAAAACCATGTATATTATTAAATAATTTTACCTCTTTCAAAATCTTCTCTAAATTCATAATATGATTTCAAATCTTTAAAAACTGAAAAATTTGATTTTAAATTTTATTAATATTTTTATATTGATTTAACCATAACTATAACATAATGAGAAAAATAGTAATAAAATTTGAATTTTCTATTTTATAAACTTTCTATTTTTGACATCTTTAACTTTTCACACTATGTTGGAAAGCATTGTCAGAAACAGAGTTTAATGATAATTAAAACAATAAACTTTGGCTTATTATTACTGATAACATTCAAATATTTACGAGTATTTTGAGATATTTTTTGCATTACGACTTTTTAAGTGGAAAGTATTACTGTAAATTCATGATGTCTTAACATTTACATAAAATCAAGCTGATATATCTTTTAATAAACATTTACGGAAATTTTTCAATAGTTTTTAAAAATGTTTTATTTTTAGTTTGAGAGGATGATATAAATTTCTGGAAGTTAAAATTATGCAAATAGTATTGGTTTGTTTGTTAAGTTATGACAACGCAACACTTGGGCGATCTGCCTAGGGGGGATGCCTTCCGACAGGTCTTTTTACGGGAAATTCGCACCTATTTAGGCGTTACAGACGTGGAGAAAACCCAGAAAACTCCACGTGGCCAGCCAGTCTGAGCGCAGCGCGAACCCACGACCAAACTCCTAGTGTTCAGAGTACGAACGGAGACCGCTTGGTCACTGTTGGGCATTACTAATTTGAAGGCTTTCACAAGTACTTTTCAATATGAAATATATAATAATGAACTTACTAGATAATTAGTTAATTAAAAATAAAAATGTCTGAAAAAAACTTTATTCGGTACTTTGTGCTTAACGGGACACCAGTCGATTTAAATATCGATCAACCGAAACGTCAATTAACTGAAGCTTTTCCCGCGTTTCATTATGCAGCGCTCGAGAAGCGCTTTACAGCGAACACACTGAAACTGGTTTCTAATTGGCCAACACTGCTCGTGACGTCATTTTGCTACACTCTTACTGCATAAAGAAACGCGGGGTTTCCAGTCCGCAAATTTAAATTTTCGCTAGTGCTGTGGCGCGGCAAGCTTTGGCTATGTCTTGCGATACTCCAATATTACTTTTGTTGGTGTGCATGTTTTATTAGCACTGGAACATGAGAGGGTAGTTAAGGACGTGTCAGAATTTGAATGCATTTCAACATGGGATATAGGTTAATATATCTTTTCGTACATAATCGGTTATCCGAAAAATCGGTTTTCCGAACAACCCCAGTCCCCAATTGATTACGATAATTGACGCTCTATTTTAGTTCAAATTTTTGTCGATATAGAGCACTGAACGCAAGAAAAATCACTGGAATTGTGCAAATCTGAGTCTTATAAAATTCAGGATTTACAATTAACAGCTCATTTCTGAATTTTCCTGTTATTGGCACTGACATATGGTTTTCATTATGATGTTGACGTTGGTGGATAAATCACTATTGGTGAAGTTGTTTTATCTCAGCCACGAATCGTGGGCCAAAACTTTACGAAGGTTTAGGACATAGAAGAGAATGAAGAAAGGTTCAGATCTAATCACTCCTGCCAGATTGGTTTCCCTAGTACGACGTTTCGAAGAAACGGGAAGTTTGTGTAATTGTCCACGCAGTGGTGTACCACGTTTATCAGAGGTCCGATGTGGCTTCACAAATGGAGACTAAGTCCCGAGTGTCCCGAAGAAGGTTATGCTATGCATTTGCTGGGACTGGAAGGGAATCATTTACATTTCATAAATGTGTGGTATCTATTCCATAAATATGTAAGTTGAATTACAACCTTAAATTTTTACTGTTAACATAATCTAACTTGTATGTTTTATTTCCTAAATACTGTATAGTTACTGTGCATTATAAAAAGCTGATGAGGGACTGTGCATTATAAAAAGCTGATGAGGGACTTAGGTCCGAAATGTATTCTTTTTGAAAATAATTTTCTAAGGCTGGTCTTGTATCGAATGACGGTGTAATAAGTCTAGTAATAAAGAAAGGCCAACATAAAGTGCTTACAAATTTAAACTATTAGAATTATAACACATATGTCATTAATTCAATGAATTTTATAAGCTACATGATTATTAAAAAATTTTAAAACTTACTTGAATCATCGCTGTTTACGCCGAAAATAAACAATAACATTATCACAAAGATCTTCATTTTTTTTAAAAGGATACTTATGCTATATTCTAAATACTTTTATAATTATTTCCAGGATGTTTGTTTTATGTTCTGAGGGTTACGCATACCTTCTAAATATTGTATGACATAGACAGAAAAAGCTTAATTGTGGCGGAACGAGGGTAATTTATCAGTATTATCTTAGTTGCTAGGTGAACGATAATACAAATCCAAGAATATCCTTACATTTTATTAACGACTAAACACTTTTTATACAAATTTTTATTTTTATAATGATTCAATTTTAACACGAATTTGTAATTAATCTTTAGACACGAATTTAAAATACTTCTCATGTACTTTGTGACTAATTATTTGTATATAACAATTTAGTCTCTGTTTATCATTTACAGTATACCAGTATTCAATGATTTATATGGAATTTTTAAAGTAACTGCAATGTAAATTTTTTGTTTTATTTTAAATTTTTTTTTATTAAAATTAATAAACCAAGACAAAAGTTTTATGTTGTAAATTAAAAATTGATTTTTTTTTAAATTCAAATTTTAAGAAAATAAAAACAGGACTGACTTGAGGAAAATATTATTTTTTTTTTTATAAAAAATTGATTTGGGGACTCCTGTTGGTCCTAGGCAATTATTCTTTATTGCCCAAAGGATAACACGCCACTGCTCTTAGTGTCTACAGAACAGAAAGAGTAAAAGAATATCATTTTATTCTCTGAAACATCATGTCTACGTTCTACAGATATTTCAAGAAACAAAACATCTGAAATTTGTAAAAAAAAATTTAAAATAAGGAAAATAAAGTGGCATATTAACGTCGATTATATTTTTATAACTTATTTATTTTTAAATATTTTAATTTAAATGTAAAATAAACAATTAATCAACTTTTTTTTTTATCTTTATCTGTTAATGATATTAAAAAATATATTTTCGTTCTAACAATAACAATTCTCGTTTATCTGTAATTCTCTATCATTTAAATGAGTAATAAATATATATATAAATTTGCTCTAAATAAATTATATGTAATAAAAATTGTTTTTTTTTTATTTTATTATAAATAAATTCATTTAAAATAATTAGTTAATGGATTATACGAGAATTTCACTTTATTTATATATTATTAACTTGCTCGATATAAATTATGATAGTGCTATTACAAAGATTTAACTGATATATTTGATTAATAATTGATCAAAATTTAAATTATCAAGTTATGTGATTTATCTAAAATATCTAAAATAAAAGTTCAAAGGTTATTAAAATCTGGCAAGGGAAAAAATTTCTATTCAGACGTTAAAAAAAATTATTTAGGTCGATAGTGATTATTCTCAACGTTAAAAATGAATTAATTTCTAAATTTTTATCATTAATTACAGCTATTTTTATAACTTCAGTAGAAAAAAATTAAGATTTTCTAAGATTTTGATTAAAATATTTATTAAAAATATCAAAATACATTAACCTTATTCGGTTGTATATTCATGTACAGTAGAGCGTCGTTTATCCGAAAGTCGGCTATCTGAAACGTCGGTTATCCGAAAGGATTCCAGTCGGCCTAAAGTGTAATTTTTATTTGTTTTTATATTTTTTAATGCATATATTTCGTCTGTAAAACATAAAGAAATCATTTTTAACGATACAATAGCCACGATTGTTATTTTAAAAAGTTTACGCTAGGCTTAACATCGACGAAAATTCAACGTGAAGCGACACGCAACGGAGAAAAATTTCAACACGGGATAGGTTAATATATTTTTTCGTACATAATCGGTTATCCGAAAAACAAGTTATCCGAACAACCCCAGTCCCCAATTGATTCGGATAAACGTCGCTCTACTGTATATATTTAATGTTATAAGAAAAATTTAGCTATAAATTTAATTTAAATCGTTCGATAATTTAATATATAATTTGATTAATGATGAGATATTTACATAAAAAGTTTGTTAGATATTTCCTCAACTTTTCTTTTAATTTAGACATTGACTTGTTTTCTTTTCCNAGTACTCCGTGTTGATTGTCTGGCCTGTAGGTAGGTATTCGTGATGCACAACCCCCTTTGCACCGAAAAAAAACAGTCAACATCACCTTAACATTTGAGCGAACTTGTCGAGCTTTTTGAGGCGGGGGGCTGTTTCACCCACCCGTGGAAATTTTCCGTGAAGGATTTCCCAAGTTTCAAACAGAATTTCACAGAACAACGCTGTTCTTTCAAAGAGCTGATTTCCGCGGATCCGATTTTTCGCCGAACCCCACAAACACCACTTCACATAAACGGCTGTAACTAATCACCAAAACAAGATATCAACAAACGGGTTGAAGGAGTTTACTCGGGAGGTTTCCGCGGATACAACGCCTCCAAGCGAATTAAGAAATAATCAACTGGAGGCGCTCTATTCAAAAAGTTCGGGAACTTTTTGAACATCCCACGTACATTTTCTTTAGATTTTAGAATTCACAATAACCATATAAAAAGCAATATATTTTTGTTTATTATATACTGTTGTCCAACAGAAAAGTAAACTATCTTATTTACAAATCTTTTCAAAATAGACAGTTTGACCGGGCCCTTCTAAAAACCGGTCCCTAGACATTTGCCTGATTTGTCTATGCGATGATCCGGCTCTGCACGTGGACCTGGAATAGGTCTTAAAAATCTCGACGGCCACTAGTCCACTAGAGATGTTCCACTTGTGGGGTGGTAAGGATAATTTGGGCTCTGGAAAAGTCTGTCGTAATATCAGGGTGCGTCGCGTACTTGGAGAGTGCGGTACTATTCTTACCATGCTGTATATCTGATTTATGCTCACGCATCCTGACCCCTACTGAACGTTTAATAGACCCAATGTAAACCATTTCACTATCCCATCTGCTGTCACTGATAGGGACGCTATAAATGCCCGGTTGCTGTCGGGGTTAGGGAGATCTTTTCCGTTACGTAGTAGACTGAATATGGAGAGACATCCCCTGTAACTTATACCGACTCTTCGTTTCTTGGCAATTGTGGTAAATAATGGTTTCAAATGCTTAAATTGGCGTAATTTTTTAAAAATGTATTTTCAGTTTATGATAAACTTAATCCAAAAATAGGTTGCATTAAGTTTTTAAAATTATTTTATTTATTTATTTTTTAGTCTAATAATTATATACACGAGTTTTAGTATAACAATAAATGAGGTAATCATGTCAATAATGATAGGAATCATTAAAAAAATAATATATTTATTTAAGTTATTTTTTAAAATATTTACATATAATAACTTATACTAAAAATTTTTTTAAATTGACGATAAAAATCTAAATTAAATTATAAATATTTTACGTGTATTTTATTTGTTATCATTTGAATTTAACTAATATAAATTCTTAATGATTAATTTCGATTCTAACTACTGATTTTTACTAATTTACATCAGGAATGATAACGTTTAAACATGCATTATTCTCCTTGTTTTATCAATATTATTTATCTTAAAGTATCGCTTTACTATTCCGCCACAGATAAAAATTTTTTTTTTATTTTATATTTTAAATAAAAATTTATATGTTAAGGTTAAAATGGAAAAATTATTAACTAAGTACATTTACGTTTGAACAATGTTAAATTTTGTACAGATATCTCTGTAATATGCTACTTTATTTTCCTGATTTTAAATTTTTTTTTTTTTACAAATTTTAGATGTTTTATATCTTCTTGAAATATCTGTAGAACGTAGACATGACGTTTCACAGAATAAAGTGTTATTCTTTTACTCTTTGCGTTCTGTAGACACTAAGAGCAGTGGCGTGTTATCCTTTGAGCAATAAAGGACAATTTCCTGGGTTCCACCAACAAGAGGCCCTAAACCAATCTTTTATAAGAAAATATTTTCCTCGAAGAAAAATTTCTGAAGTTAACAATGTACTGGTACATGGGGCCCCAATTCAAATTTTCTTAGGCCGTGAATCAATAATGCACCATTGAGTAGCCTAAGGGTCTTTTTTAAGCCCATTCTGGGATTGGCCAGACCCACAGTGGGATGGCCAAGGGTGAAGGATGGGGTCCGACATATCCGGGACAGACCGTCTCTCGAAAAAAATTCCTCCCGAGTTCCCGAACTCGGGAGGAATTTTTTTCGAGAGACGGTCTGTCCCGGATATGTCGGACCCCATCCTTCACCCTTGGCCATCCCACTGTGGGTCTGGCCAATCCCAGAATGGGCTTAAAAAAGACCCTTAGGCTACTCAATGGTGCATTATTGATTCACGGCCTAAGAAAATTTGAATTGGGGCCCCATGTACCAGTACATTGTTAACTTCAGAAATTTTTCTTCGAGGAAAATATTTTCTTATAAAAGATTGGTTTAGGGCCTCTTGTTGGTGGAACCCAGGAAATTGTCCTTTATTGCTCAAAGGATAACACGCCACTGCTCTTAGTGTCTACAGAACGCAAAGAGTAAAAGAATAACACTTTATTCTGTGAAACGTCATGTCTACGTTCTACAGATATTTCAAGAAGATATAAAACATGTAAAATTTGTAAAAAAAAAAAATTTAAAATCAGGAAAATAAAGTAGCATATTACAGAGATATCTGTACAAAATTTAACATTGTTCAAACGTAAATGTACTTAGTTAATAATTTTTCCATTTTAACCTTAACATATAAATTTTTATTTAAAATATAAAATAAAAAAAAAATTTTTATCTGTGGCGGAATAGTAAAGCGATACTTTAAGATAAATAATATTGATAAAACAAGGAGAATAATGCATGTTTAAACGTTATCATTCCTGATGTAAATTAGTAAAAATCAGTAGTTAGAATCGAAATTAATCATTAAGAATTTATATTAGTTAAATTCAAATGATAACAAATAAAATACACGTAAAATATTTATAATTTAATTTAGATTTTTATCGTCAATTTAAAAAAATTTTTAGTATAAGTTATTATATGTAAATATTTTAAAAAATAACTTAAATAAATATATTATTTTTTTAATGATTCCTATCATTATTGACATGATTACCTCATTTATTGTTATACTAAAACTCGTGTATATAATTATTAGACTAAAAAATAAATAAATAAAATAATTTTAAAAACTTAATGCAACCTATTTTTGGATTAAGTTTATCATAAACTGAAAATACATTTTTAAAAAATTACGCCAATTTAAGCATTTGAAACCATTATTTACCACAATTGCCAAGAAACGAAGAGTCGGT